CCCCGGCCCCGTTACAGGACCCCAGTGAACAGAGCCGTGCCCCCACGCCCACCAAAACCCACCCTCCTCCTCCCGAAGGGGCACTCTGGGCCCAACGTCCAGTCCAAGCTCACCTTTTTCAGCATGATGATGCCCAGCACAGCCACTGCTGTGAAGAACAGGGACACCAGGATCATCATCACAGCCACGGCCGTGTTCTTCCGCAGCGCTATCAGGCTCAGTATCCAGCCACTGCAAAACAAGAGGCAGTTGCCCACAGGTTCCCTCTTCCCTACGCGCTTCCTCCCTCTCTAGGGAGCTGGGCTGGCCAGGGCTCCCCAGGCCCAGCGCAACACGCACCTGAACCCCCAGTTTGGTATGCCGATGGCCTGCAGCACGTACATCACGTTCTGGGCAAAGAAGACGAAGAAGAAGACAAAGAAGTTGAAGGAACTGTCACTCCTGGGAGAAAGAGACAGAGGAGGTCAGCCACAGGAAACAACGCTCAAACCTTCCTCGAAGCGGGGGGTGCCAAGGGAACGTGCAGGCTACAGAGGCACAGCCACAGGTCAAGGGACTTAAAGCAAGGAGAAATCCGTGGAAGAGGCATAAGGCAGCGCAAGGATGTCCAAAAGCAAAGTCCATGGGAAAACACGTTCCTGTGACCTTCTCAGAAGAGCCCCCTCCAAAGCAAGGCTTTCTTCCTCGGCCAGAAGCCCAGCGCAGAATCATCACATCCCCCAGACCCAAAGGCCGTAAAGGAGCTGGGATGCCGTCGGCGCCGCACTCAGGGCAAGGGCCTGTTCTGCCAAGCAGGATAATCTCCCCAGCTTCATGCACCAGCCTCGCAGCCAGCCCACCCCACTGCTTCGCTAGCCGGGCAGCTCAAGCAGATACACACCTGAAAGCTTTGTACATCGGCCTATACCAGCAGACAAAGGAGCAGGGTGTGTAGAGGAGAGCCCAGAGAATGGAGAGGCCAAACCCAGAACCGGATGAGGGCTCCACACAGAACCAGGCCAGCGAGGACAAGAAGTTCAGGAAGAGAGCAATGGTGCTGGCTGAGAGAGAGAACATCAGTCAGGCAACCCGAGCAAGGCTCCCCCCTCCCCACACCAGGGCCTCAGCCCCCGACCTGGGCACAGAACGTTAATCTTGACTTCCCCAGAGCAGTGACACTCGTTCCTCTACCGTCTCGCAGCATCTGCCCTTAGACTCCCCCCAGGGACTCACCCATCCAGAGGTAATACATGGTAGAAACAGTCTTCTGGAAGTCAGCAGGGATCTCCACGGGGATGTCTTGGTAGAAGCAAGGCTTCACCGGGCAGAAGGACGGCAGCGGGGGCCAGTTGTTCAGTCTCGCTGCGAAAGGAAGGAGGCGAGGAGAGCAGCGGTGCCAGGGCCATGAGGAAGGCAGCCTCCGTCCCTCCCCTGCCCCGCGGGTCACTCACTCGCT